GAATGCCTGATCGTGCACATCTTCCTATTTCTGTGATATGGATTTTTGGGATACTCTGATATGACTTTATTTTTGAAACAATAACTCTTCTTGTAAACAATGATGGTTAATGGTTGATTTCAAAATTTCAAAAATTTTGTGATTTTTGGAGTGTTACAGTTATGTTGGTGTTATGGCAAATTGTTTCGCAAGGATAATGAGCCTTAGAATATTCAAGAGGGTGAAAAAAAACATGTTGACATAGACAATGTTACATCGAATTTCCCTTGAAGGTGTACACCTTTGGTCTCGTTGGAGTTTGAAATGCCATATATGTTAATCTGCTTCGACAACAACCAGATGATGGTCGGAATGGTGCCCAACCTCAATAAAACCTATAGTTCGTAGAGGCAGTTGTACAACATGTCAGATTCAGGTACTCAGAAATGAGATGGTGTGTGGAAGGATGATAATGTAAATCATCAACTGTGAAATAGAAAATAATAAAAGGAATGAATATGGGAGCTTTAATAATCAAGGAAAGAGTTGTTCTTCTTTATGGGAATTGAAACCAAAACAAAGGTGCATGTATTCAATGATTGAATAGTTCTTTTATACTATGAATTTAGGAGGTGAGGACATGTAATGTGAAAGGGCATGAAAGAGATATCATTTCAATTGTATTAGAATAAGGTTCATGTAGATTTTGAATGAGTATTTTATCTAAAAAATCTCAAACTATTAGGATAGGAAAAAGTGTGGGTGGATAAAAGGCTTTATGTGAGGATCATGGTATTAATTTTTAGGAGTTCAAGAAATCATGATGACCGTATTGGATATTTTGGTGATGAGATGTTATATACTTTTCATTTTGATTATCCTAAGTCTTTGAGAGGGGAGATTATGATGTATCTTTTTCTATTTGAAATTATTTTATGTTTTAAAAAGAATAAGTCATGAGTATGGACAATTCTTTCAGGTTTTTATCTCTCCCAAACATGAAATGACTATTATATCTTTACTAAATAGTATATGTATCTTTTTTTCTAATTTATTTATTTCTTTATTATTATAAAATTAAATTAAGATCCTTAAGCATACAACCATCTAAGATTAGGTATTACCACCACACTTGATGTCGCCCTCCTCAATCTCATCATATTCTTCTTCAAACCCTCAGGCCCTCCCCCATTTTAAAACAAAAAGTAGATCGCCAAAGCGGGTGACCTAGCCAAAATGAAACCGAAACTTAAGTAGTTCTAGAGGATTAATTCATATCATTTTGTATCTTATTCAAAACATGTTTGGATATTAATATTATTGCTTTTGATTTATGAATGAGATACTGAAAAGGGTTATATAAAAGATAGGATTAAGAAGATTAGAAAATAACAAGGTTTAAAAATATAAGTGTGAATTTTTGAGTTAATTACGAAAAGGTGGGTTTATATTGATATGAAAGCAATAAACAAGAGATTAAAATGGTTTTTTATCTCTAAAGAAATAAAAATATGGATGATGATGATGAGAGTTTTAGTTGGAGTTTCAAATAAATATGATGTTTTAAAATATTAGATAACCATATTTTTATCAACGATAATAATAAATATATTAATAGATAAATGGTAAAATATCATTAATGTTTTGATGCATTTTATTTGGCTATCAACTTGAAAGTTAGATAGCAATTTAGTCATTACTATTAATAGCGATTACAATAAGAAACGAAATAACATAACTATAATAAGTGAAATTAAATATTTTCCCATCGTCTTCGTCGTCGTCGTGATGTGTCTTCTACATTTTTATTTCTTTAGAAATAAATAAACATTTTCAATATCTTGTTTATTGATTTCGTATCAATATAAACCCATATTTTCCTAATTAACCCAAATTTAAACGTCGCACTTGTATTTTAAAACCTTGCTATTTTCATATAACCCTTGTTATTGTCTCGTTCACAAATCTAAAGCAATAATACTAATGTGCCCAAGGAAACATGTTTTGAATATTGATACAAGATTATATAAATTAATCCTCTAAAACTACTCAATATTCGAGATTCAGTTGTCGAGTATTATCTCAACAATGTTAAGAGTTACGATTAAAAAAACAATTCACATTCGATGCACCGTGTCAAAGAGGTGATGCACTAAGAATCCTGTTTGACTTTTCTTTATTTTTCTTAAATAGCAATGTACTTTTGGTTCTTCATTTAATATATTAAAATGCCAAATACTTTTACTTTATGAGTCTTATAAAGAACTAGAAGCCCATCATTGATCACTTTTAATTCAAATATCTCGATATGAATACCCAAAACTTTTATCGTATGCCAAGAGGGGGGGGGGGGGGGATGCTTTGGAAAAAAAAATGGTGGCACTGATCCTTATGGGAAGGTTATAACTCCAAGTCTAAAATCCATTGGGTATTGTGGGATAAATTCATAACTTCAAAAGAAAAGGCTGATTCGATATATTAATCATCTAAAAACTACTCAAGATTCAAGATTCAGTTGTCGAGTATTATCTCAACAATGTTGAGAGTTACAATTAAAAAACAATTCACATTCGATGCACCGTGTCAAAGAGGTGACACACTACGAATCCTGTTTGACTTTTCTTGATTTTTCTTAAATAGCAATGTACTTTTGGTTCTTCATTTCCTATATTAAAATGCCAAATACTTTTACTTTACGAGTCTTATAAAGAACTAGAAGCCTATCATTGATCGCTTTTAATTTAAATCTCTCGATATGATACCCAAAACCTTTATCGTATGCCGAGGGGGGGGGGGGGGGGGGGGGGGAAGGATTAACTCTTTTAAAGGTGGTCCTTGAAAACTTTCCAACATACTATCTCTTCCTCTTCAAAGCTCCAATGGGAGGTGATGGGTGCTTTGGAAAAAAAATGTGGTGCTGATCCCTATGGGAAGGTTATCACTCTAAGTCTAAAATCCATTGGGTATCGTGGGATAAATTCATAGCTTTAAAAGAAAATGGTGACTCAATGTAGGGTCATTTAATGCACTTACATTGCACTAATTGTCAAATGATGGTGTGATTGAGGCTCGATAATTTTTCTCTTTGGCGCCGGGTCATTGGTGGTCTACATAATTTTACACAAAATGCCTTTGATTAGATGTTAAGAAAATTAGTTACTAGCATGGGGAACAACATTGATGGGGCTTCCACTGATTAAAGAGGTTTGGGCTTGGATTCAACTACGTTCTCAATAAACTTATTGGATCATGCCTTAATACGTAATTTTGGTAGGACGAATGATGGGTTGTTGTGAAATTCAAATTTTTATTTCTTAAGCCGTACATCTTGGAGAATACGAAACAAATTCTTGGTTGCTGATAGAGTAACACCTAACAAGTTCATTTTGGATTGGAGGGATGATCAGACTGCATCGATTTTTTCCCAAGATTTGTATCAATTAGAATATGCCACTAGTTTGTTTATTCCCAATAATGACCCCAATGCATGTCGATATGATCTCACCTATGATGGTCAATATATTATCAATGTCCTTCAAAGTAAATTGGACGAGTTTGCTCGTGATGTAATGGGCACTATAATTGAATGGATGAAAGAATTCCCATTGAAGATTCCATGTTTTATATGGAGGGAAAAATAGGAAGAATTTCATCCGCAACATCACTTGGAAGAATTTCATCCGCAACATCACTTGAAAGAATTTCATCCGCAACATCACTTGCAACCACCCCACCATTTGCATGTACTATAATAATGCAATGGAATGTGCAAACCATATACTTATGGGGTGTGATTTTGCCAAAATTACATGGGAATGGATTATGAGTTGGTGTGGTATCATCCGAGGCCTATTTTTGCAATGGATGAACCGTTAGACTTTGCGGCAAATCGGGGTCATTGCCATAAGAAGAGGAAGAGGAAGAGGCTTATGACTATTTGCTATGGCATGATGTGGTGCCTATTAGTATTAGGCAATGATAAAATCTTTAAGTATGCAAAACATCCCCAACCATAATCGCCGACAATATACAATCGTTGGTGTTTCTTTGGTTAAAAATTTTTAGACAGATAATGATCAATAAGTTAAATTCATAAAAAAAACTATAAAGAAAATTGACCCATTAGAGATATCATTTAACTAGAGATCAGAGTTATTTGAATAATAAGTTCGCAAACATATTAACTGATAACATAGCTTTATCATAATTGGATATGATTTTATAATAATGTTATGTGTTGGCAGTGTAGCGTATTAATTTAATAAGATAAAAAAGATATTTGAGGGAAAAATTATTCAATCCTTTTCACTGGTACTATATAACTAAAACTAATGACTTCATTTGACTCATTACCCTCTTAATTGGCTTATTTTGTAAGTGGATTTATTAATTAATATACTAATGTTCTTTCCACAGCAAGCCGGTAAACTTGACTCTTACGATTACAAATTCGACATTACAATGGAAAAACATATTGCAATCACCATTTGAACCTACATGGCTACATCCCATCAAAATAAAGGAACAAACTGGGAAAACTTCATAAAAATACCGTCTAAACTAAACGCTACGCGGCATAAACTTTAGTCACATATTAAAGCACATGAGGCAATGTTTCACGCAATAGAACTGCACATCTCACCTCAACTTTGCACAACAATGCACAACATTTCTTTGTCAAGTTTCAATTTTCTCATCATGAATTATAACATGTATTACATGCATGTGTTGGTAGTGTAAAGGTGACGTAGCTATCATCAATCTTGGTAGTTTGTTTTCTACCTTGTAAAAAGTCGAAAAAGAGAGTCATGAGGGTGGATATAAGGAGTAGAATTGATCTTGTAATGATTTTCTTGTTGCGTTAAAACTTGCTTTTATATGGTTTATAATGTGTGACTTGCAATGACTACCTTCATGTTTTCATGTGACAAGTACTCACAAGACACATCTTCTTCATAGCCCCGACATCCTCTATATAAAGAGCTCAAATAAGCATAATAGATACACAAACACAGAGTAAAATGTTTGAATATCTTCAAGTTATTAGAGAGGTTGTTGGAGACATGGCACAACCACTTTTACCTACGTTTCCTATGACAGTGTACTATGGAAACGAAAGGGTGTTCAATGGTCGTGAATTTAAGGCATGTGATGTTGACATTGCTCCAAGGGTTTTCATTGGAGGTGGACCAAGCGAGTTGTACACGCTGATTATGATTATGGTTGATCCAGATGCACCAGACCCAAATGATCCATGTTTGAAACAAGTTGTCTCATGGTTCGTCTCTCTCTGTAAACAATCAATTTAGCTATTGTTGATTTTCGGTGTCTTAAACACTATATGATCACAAACCAATACATTTTTTTTTAACTATTTTTATTTGTAGTGTCACAATGTTCATCATATGTTTATTAACACTTAAGCAATGTGTTGTTTTTAGGATTGTGATCAACATTCGTGGCGGGACTTCACATTCTCAAGGTAAAACAAGTAATTTTCCGATGAACACAATTTGTGTCATGTTTCTATAAAAACCCCGATTGAATTACCGATGTGTTATTATTTTTTTTTATGATATTTCTAGTTTTATATAATTATTTATTATGTATATTATAGGCACTGAAGTTGTACCATACGAGGCATCTAGTCCTGAAGTTGGTATCCATCGTAACATATTCGTTCTGTACAAGCAACAATCTCAACTTGATAATATTGAAACACTTGCATCTCGATTTTGCTTTAACATTCGAGCTTTCGCAACCGAAAACAACCTTGGAAATCCTGTTAGTGTTATTTACTTTACCATGCGACAAACTAATAAAAGAAAGAGAGGAGAGTGATTAATGGCTCAGTTCTTTGTTTCATATTATTCTATATATGTGTAAAGTGCTCTTCACTTATTATCGTTGTAGCTATTATATATTTATGTGTATGTAATAACGAATTTGCATCTTAAATCTTAAATAAATAATATTATCATGACTCTAAATGTGATAGTGAACCTTGCATGTTAGATAAGCTGGTGGCGCTCAATGTCGCAGCCCTGTTGTTGCTAAAGATGTCACTCTCGCTATATCCTCTTGATAACTAGACAATCCAATGATTTTTCTTACTTCTCAATAGGGCAATAGCAGTGACAACTTGTCGTCGCTAAGACTTTCCAAAAAATCTACCATACTTTCACCCCATAATTTCACTATCACCACTAATGATGTCGCTGCTATTGTTACTAAAGCAGTCGTTGCTATTGCCTTGTTGCAACAAAAGTCACCATTGATTTCTCCAAATCACATTAAACCCCTTCTTTCTATTTTCCTAAGTATATATGAGCCATTCACTTTACACTTAATTTGTTGCCGCCAACCACGATGATCTCCATATTCCCAACTCTTATGCCTACGGTTGCCATGTATTTGCTTGGTAATATTCTTCATCATTTTCTCTGGCCTTTTCTCCATGCCCCTTTTTAGTGTCCTTGATCTTCATCATTTCTTTGGCGGCAGAACACTAACACCACCACCATGAGTAACCAGACTCCTCCTTTGCTATCGGGCGAAAACCACCGCCACTACCCACTAGGTAAGTAATGCTATTCTTTCTTCATGGATTTTTCTCCAAAGCTAGCCATGAATTTCATGCTAATGATCTGGTTTAGATGTCTAGAATGAATCCTTTATGATTACGAATGAATCCTTCATACTTCTAATATCGTGTTAGAACTAGTAAAAGACATCCTTTATGCTTCTGATTTTGGGATTGTTTCTGATTTTTGGGACTTTTCTGAATTGTGAGTTTGTTTCATAATTATAGTTTTTGTGTGTAGCTTATACTTAAAGAAACAACCCCATATTGGATCATGTGATCTTTTTATGCTTTCTTAATGCGTGTAAATATATCCCCGTATTGGATGTGTCTCGTTTTTGTATGCTTAGAATCGAAGAAACAACCCCGTATTGAAACGTCTAAGAGAGACGTTGAAGTATTTGAGGAAGCGTATGATTAAAACACTTTATTTGTAATCACACCTGACTCGTTGTTATAGACAACTTTATATAATATTCTTGTTGTGATAGAAAATTTTCACTGGTTTCCTTTCATGTAGTTTAGTCTCAACTTAATATTAAAATAATAACATCATAAACATTTCCAAATACCATATATCATTTAATTCTTGTAACTCACACTTTCTTTATTTTTAACCATATTACTTCATTTTTGCAATTTATTTCAAATCTTATAACAATGTAACGATTATGTTATTATATACTTTGTAAAGGCATAATTGTTATTTTTGGCAAATTGTCCCAAAGTGGACTAATTAGTAGTCTTTTCCAAAAAGTGACATTTTCATACTCATTCATGCTTTACCAATTGTTATTTTACTTCGATACATCACATAAGTGGTTTCTACATAAATATCACTACAAGAAACGAGACCTATAGGGACGACAACTGTCGTCTCTATAGATACTAAAGTCGCCCCGATAGATGGTAGCAACGACAAGTCGTCCCTATGTCGTTCGTCTCCACAGCCCCGTCGCAACAAATTATTTTTGTCGTCGCTATACATATCGTTGCAATAGCTTACCTATAGAGACGACATATTGTCTCTAAAGGGTTCATTGCTATACTTTTCCGATCACCATAGATAAAGCTATAGAGATGACATGTTGTCCCAATAGAAATAACTATAGAGACGACATGTCGTTTCTATAGATAAAGCCATCACATACACCGGCCTATAGCGACAACATACCGTGGTAGTAGATTAACCTATATATATGATTTGTCCCTATACATTTACCTATAGAAACGACATGTCGTCTCTATAGGTATGCCCACAAGTTTACACCCTGCTCTTTTTTCTGTGTATTTTTCGAGTTTTGACAATCCCAAAATAGTTAAAGCAATATATTTACAAAATAGCTAAAGCTGTAAATTTAATTGCAATAAATAGTGTTAAATGATTTTATTATATGCTTTAAACGGTACTTAAAGGAAGATTCCCAAACATTACATGTTTTAAAACTATACTAGTTCAGATCTACCAAACTTTGCATCAAATTCTTCAATTGTTTATACTCCCAATTTCAAAACACCTCCAATAACTTGTAAAGCTTCAAGCATAGTACCTGTTAAGCCTCTAATAAGCAACACCTACATTTTCAAACTTAAATTACAAAGTGAGAAGAGCATATCTACAAGTAATGTTTTTTTTTTTTTTTTTTTTCTATTATTTATTGTCTGCATAAAGTGTTGACTAGATATATGATTATTTAAAATATGGTGAAGCCTGACTTTCTCTATTATGCTCTTTTTGAACGAAAACTACAATAAAAAAGGAAGGAATCAGATTCTTTTAAGAATGGTCCATTCCATTCCACTACACAAACCAAACAGACATTTTTTTTTTCAGTTCGATGGAATGAACGATTCCATTCCTTTCCCAATTCCAACATACCAAACACTACCTAAAAGTTTACCTTCCCCCTCCTATTCCGCCTTTTGTTAAAACAGAAACAACCACCACCACTCGATCCAGACTCATATTCCCTGTATAACAAAAACCAAAAGAATTGTTACAAATTATTGTATTCTGCAAAAGGGTATTTCGGTCTTTTACCTTCACACAAGAAAAAAAAGAACTAGTTTGTTGACCACTTACTTACTCGTTAAACTGCCATCATGCAACAAGCTCGGTGACATCAGAAACTACTGCCCAATATGTTCCTTCAAAAGGGTATTTCCATCTTTTATCTTAAAAAGATTAAGTTCACGTGTCAACTCATCTTCCCATTTCTCCTGTGACAATGGTTCCATCGCCACCATCTGCCGTTGGTGGTCACCACCATCTTGTGGTAATACCTGATTCCATTCCAATTTTGTAAGCACGTAGTTTCTAACCGTTGTTTGTGAATGATCGATTCTATTCTTTGGACCGGATTCCTGGTTTTGGGGGGGGTTTTCCCCCTTTTGCAACAAGTGGAGATGCAACTCTAGAATTGATGATTTCGGACATCTTTCCGTCCGAACTTTGAACTGCAGAAACAGAATAGGAAGACAATTAATTCTCAAGTGAAATCATTAACTTTGTGATATAAATTTAAAAAGTTGAAACTTTAAAAGTTTAGATTAAAGTCACATACACAGCTCTCAACGTCAAATGATTCTCAAGAAAGTACACATCCATTGTAAATAGGCTGGAAAAGACAATTATTGTTAATAATTGGTTAAGTGATCAAAACTTACACAATTGTATATACAAAAAAGCCAACATGATCTACCGGTGATATCATGCGATTATAACATCATTTTTATCAGTTTTACCTTGTACGTTACTTTACACAATATGATATTAGAGAAATTTATTTGTATATAAGTTTGATGATAAGAAATCGCATGTAGATATTCATCAATGTAACAAAGATTTCAAATCTGTAGTGTACCTTTATTGAAATCGTCATGCTAGTAATGTACAGACATAGAGTGGGCATATAGTTGTTGTGCAGTGGAGTCCGGGTGGTAAACTGGCCGTTGATTTCGTATCTGGAAAGAAGCAAATCTTTGATCATAGGAGAAAGAATAGTTATCGCTGCTGATGAGGCTAGAGTTGAAGGCGATTGTCCCCTGTGCTGGGGGGTGTTCGGCGTCTACCAGTCACCGATCGAGAGAGAGGAAAATGTGAAAACAGTTGCGATTGAACGAGAGAAGGTGATGACATATTCACGATTTCTGGAGTAGAAACCTATGGGATGATCCACACCCCTTCAATATTCTGATTAAACAACAAATTAAAAAAAACATATAAAATACATCTAATTTATTTGTTTCTGGGAAGACCTATCGTCCCTGTATGCTTTCCGTATCCCGCGAAAATTCCCGCCTAAATTGTCGGGGTGACATGTCGTAGCTACATCTTTTCAGAAACCCACCAATTATCAGCATAACCTTTTGCAACAACACATCGTTTCTATAGATGATCTATAGAAACGACTTTTGTTGTCCCTATAGGTATCGTCCCTATAGATGTGTATTCTTGTAGTGAATTAAGTTCCAATACACCATTTAAACAAACTTTTATTTTGATATTTTTCTTAATTAGGCATCCTACTCGTTATAAGGTAATTTCATGTATTTTAGAATGCCTTTCATGTAAATTTCAGGATAAATTTGTTTATAAGTATGTACCAATGCTTATACACATGAAAACATTATGAGATTCTATACTTTATGCTCATTAGCATAATCTATTTTCAACAAAATTATTAGAAACATAAACAATTTCTCTAACATACCATTTTCCATATTTTTTGTTATCAATATGCTTCCAACATTATTTTAAACTCATTTCCCTACTAAAATATCTACTTTACTTATGTGATAAAAAAAATATAATATCCAAACACTTATGGAAGTAATTTACTTCTTTTCTCGACCAAACATGGCCTTTTATTTAATTTTTGCATTATCATATAACAAGGAAACATAGTAATCAAGCTTTTATCATTTATCATACTTGCATTTTATATGTTCCAGTTAGTATTCTGATTTCCAAGTTACCAATTTGGAACATTTTTTATTAGACTTTTCAAGCATCCATATCTACTTTCTTTGTTACACATATTAATTCTTGTTAATTTTGGTGCTCCCATTTCAATTAACCCATTTTGTTATTATCTACATCAATAATGGCAAAAGCACAAATTCAATAAACAAATAATTAATCCATTTTGGTATAATAGCATACAACTTAACTTAGTAGTATCGTATTCTCTATCCCCATTTGAAGAATTCATAACCGAATCAATCTCTTTCATAAACTGTTCCATATCGAGATGCACATCTCTGAATTTCTAAAATAACAAAAATAAATAACTTTATGTTAATTTAAAAAAAAAAAAAAAAAAAAAAAGAGAAAAGGAAGCATGGTGATTTGTTTAATAAATGAATAAAAACTTCTCTGTCTCTAGAAACCTCTTCTTACGTTGATTTTGTTATATTACCAGGATCATAATCATTTAAATTCAAGGATTTAGATTGTTCGTTTGCATCAAATTTAGTTACTTTAGGCTTTTGACCAAAAGTCGAGTACTCAACTCTCAATCTCTTCTATATGCAAAAAGATATAAATACCCTCCAATGTAATTAACAAAGACAACTTTAATGTATAACGTATATAAAACACACATGCAAAGGTGAGAGAGAGAGAACCTTTCACAATGCAAAAAATAGAAATTTCATGCCACTTTGAGCATGATTAAAGTAGAAGGATATTTAATTTCTCATAAACATAAGACCAAAAAGTTTCTGACTCATCTTCCATGACATAAGGAATTGGGGATAAGAAATCATTCATATCCCGCAAAAGTTTATTATTGTATTTCATGTATTAAGAAAAATAAATAAAACTAATATTATATCAAGGGAGTTAAAAGAATTAGTAAAAAAAATATTACCTGACAATAACCGATTTCAAAGTTGTAAGATGAGTATCTCATCAAAATATGACTTAGAATATTCACATTTTCATTGTTATCACCTTCATAGAATGGTAGCATTAGATCAGTTCTTACCTTGAAAAAAAACACAAATTAAGTTTAATTAATATTTATAGAAAAAAAAAAGTCCGGATATTTAATGAAGAATATGTTGTTATAGTTAATTAGTTATACCACATCTTTATCAATAAGAAACTTTGTTTCTTTAAATTGGGATTCTTTTATTGATTGCGCTGTGGAAATGCTTAGCAAATGAAAAATAAATAATTGTTACAGAGATTTTTTTTTATATAAAAAATAAGATATGTTGCTAATTAGTGACAAACGTGCCATTGGTTTTTTGAGGGTTTCAAATGCTTGTTGACATGGTGTTGTTCATCATTTAGTGAGAGCATGATCTGAAATCCCTTTGGATGGAATGGAAGGTTCGATGGTCGATTAATGCTTTATTTCTTTTTTTAACCACTTATTATCGAGTTTCTTACAAATTTGTATGTAAATAATGCAAGAAAATTGTGTCATAAAATGCATGATAAAAGAGTTGCAGGTTTTTCATTAAAGAAAAACCCAACTTTTATTCATTCCAATGGAATGAAGCATTATCATTCCATTCCTTTCCCAATTCCAATTCCATCGTATAAAACAAGTACAACCTAATGAATTCAACTACACCTTTCTTCAAATCAGATGTATTATATTGATTGTGAATCCTTGATTCCTATTCAGATTTGTAGCTTTCATTGAGGGTAGAAGTAGTAAAGTTGAGGAAAATAGAGCAGAAGCTACACAATCACTCTCAATATCTATAAATAGGAGTACATTATCTTACACAATTCATTAATTTGTTAAATTAAGAGAGAGAAGTTTAGTATCTGTAATATGTAGTAAGGTTTAAATTAAAAGAAACATACTTCATCCATCTCCTTTTTTAAAGATGTTTAATGCTTTTGAATCTGATCTCCAACCAATATGGAGTAAGCGAAGCCAAAAGAAGACATAAAGAAGTCCACATATTGTACAAAGTATCTACATACCAAGTAAAACCAAAGTAAACTTAGAAACAGGCTAAAATATATGATTTTGCATTGTTGTAATTAATGTTTCTTGAAATATGAAAATGGTATCAAGAAAATTATATAAAGGAAAAGTAGCAAACTTATAGTCATTACAAACAGGGCATTGGCTGCAAATAATAGAATAATTAACTTTATATGAGTCATTGCTATAAGACCTTTCATAATGAAAGGTTCATCACTAATTTATATGGAATCAATTACTGGAACATTGGGTTATGTAATTTTGAGAAAAAAAAAAAAACCATGTTATACGAATTTTTAATCATTATATTTGAAAATTTAAGCAAAAAATGCCAATACCCAATAAATGCTTGTAGCAATACCATTGTGTGTTTCCTTGATACCTGATTTAGAACAATTTCTGAATTATAGAAATCATGTATTTTGAAAAAGAATTTTTTGTGGGGATTTTCATCGATCACCTTGCATGCATCATTTCAACACAATAAATTTCACAGAAAAGACGTACAAGTTGAGACAGGGCGTAAGAAGTTTCATATTTTACGAAATTTGAGAGAGTAGAGACCTTACCAGTATAGGTTGAGTCATCAATCTAACCTGAAAGATGATGATAATCTAAACGCAGGTTAGTTGAAACCTCAAGCCGACACCACCGATCATCAAAGTTTTAGGATTCTTCAGTCGACACAAAATTGCGGAGTTCAATCGACGCAAAATGATGGAAGAGATAGTCATCCCAGCAAAAAAGCGGTGTAGAAAAGGTGATTGGAATCCGGTTAAAAGCTGGCGAGACATCTGATTTCTTTTCTAGGGTTTAAAGAAAGACTTGCTTTTTGATTTTTGAAGTCGCCGACTAGAAATCGAGTTCATGTTCAATGAGGATCTCAGGTTTGTGGAAAGTTGCGTCTGGAGACGACGAGATTTGAGAGATTAATTTGAGTGAGAATAATCTTACATTAAATCGAATCTGATGAGAAACGGTGGAGACTGAAGAATCTGAGTAGGTGATGGAGAAGAATGATAGTGGAAGGGATAAAGGAGTAGGTGACGGAGAAGAATGATGGTGGAAGGGATAAATTTGTGGAGACTGAGAGGGACCAAATTTGTCCAACTGTAAAAATGAGGTGACCAATCTCGGAATTGAATAAAAACAATTGTTCATAAGGGGAAATTAGTAAATTATATTTGATACAAGGCGTATTACCTAGTTTAAAGTTTGATTGCAACATGCATCATAGAATTTTAAATTATACTTTTCATTTTTCTAAGTATAATTTCATCCAAATAAGTAAGTTAATGTATATATTTTTAATATAATTTTTTTAATATTATACTAGTTGTAAGATTCATGTATTACATGGATTAATTAAAAAAAATTAAATATAAAAATCAAAATATTTGAGAACTTTAAATTTATAAGAAAATAAGAAAAAATAATGACTTACTATAATAGAAAATATTTTTATTCTTTTAAATTTAAACAAATAATTTAAATAAATAAAAGAAACTAATAAACTTTAATTTTGACAATTTTAAAATTAAAATAGAAGTTCATTAATGAAATTGATATCTACTTATTACTACATTTATTGTCATTATTATATTAAAATATTATATGAAATTTAATAAAATAGAAAAACTCATAAAAAGATACATAGAAAAAAAAATAATTTAAAATAGTTACAAAATGACATTTGAAAAATTGAATGGGAATTCGACAAGTGACAAAAAAAAAAATCTTCATTCATTAGAAAAGATTATTGCAATTATTATATTAAAATATTATGTGAAATTTAATAAAATAGAAAAACTAATAAAATGACATGAAAAAAAGAAAATTAAATAACCACAAAATGATATTTGGCAAATTAAATGAGAATTTGACAAGTAGCTAAAAAACATTCATTTATTAGAAAGGATATAGTATTAGGAACTTTTGCTAACCCATATTTTCTTACTATCAACTCTTAAAATGCAAATTTTTTTGTGTGATATTTTTTGTCAAACAAAGTGACATAACACACCAAATCGATCATACAAAAGCATATTCACAAAAAAATCTTGAAAAAAATGTGCATATGTGCAAAAAGTCGACAAATTCAGAATTTCGTAAAAAATGCACATATGTACCTGTCGTATACGCACATCTTTTTCAAGTTTTTTTCTTTTCCGAATATGCTTATATAGGACTCATTGGGGCTTTATGTTACCTTTTTTGAAAAAAAACACACACAAAAGGTTCGCATTTTAAGAGTGGTTCGTCAGAAAATATAGGTTCGTAAAGGATCCTGACTATATATATCTATATACAACTACTTTATAATATATATATATATATATATATATATATATATATATATATATATTGTGGGGTCCATCAAAATTTAAGACTATAGTCTTAAAACAAGGAGGTCAATTTTTGGCCATTAGATTATATTTGACGGTTATGATTATAAGATAATGGTGATCCATGTGAAAGACATTTGGCCAATCAAAAACATATACATCACACTATATAATCTAGCAAATTATTTTATTAACCACTCTCAAACCTTCTAACCCTAATATCTCTTTATAAAATCTTTTCACCCTCTTGAAACCCTAATTCCTCTCAACCCACAACCTCCACGACCACCACCATTGTCGGCCACCACCTCCACCACCATACAAGGCGATCCACAACTACGAAGAGCCTCACCCTAACGACACTACCTTCAACCACCAAGAGCCAGCATCGCAGTCACCTAATCTCTGCCACCACCATCACCTTCACATCATCTACAACAACCACCACTACCTCCACAACCTGATACATCCATGGTTGCTCTCTTACTTTCCTTTTTCTGTCTAGATTAATGTTTTGAAATCCGAATTAGACATCGAACAAGCCGTCTTACCGGTTCGATGATTCAATTGGTTCGACTAGTCGAACCTGTCCTAAAAACCGAATGATGTCACACACACATACACATACACACACACATATATACACACACACACACGATTTAAAATAAAACAACACATTTAAGTTTTATGTTTTAAGTTTTAATAAAACATCACGATTTATGTTCTAATAAGTTTATACATCCTTCTAAGAAAATAAAATAAAATAAAATAATTAGTTATATGTTAATGTGTAAGAGGAGTATTCATTGAGCATTACTGTATTAGTGATTGATTTATGTTTTAAACACCATCTCATATCCTACATCTACCAAAACACAAAAGTAAGATGGATTAGGAGTTCTATAAAATGAGTGGGTTAACAAGGAATTAAAAAATCTAATCGTGGTCCTACGTCCCTTTGGATTTTACTTTAGTACATTTTTTTATCATTTTATTAAAAACCATTGGTTTTTCCGGTTTGACCAGACCAGTTTTCACCGTTTTTTGGTTGAATCGCCGGTTTTTTCTGGTTTGCTTCACAAGCGGTTTTCAGGTTCAAGCGTTTTTTTGGTTATTAGTATTCTTCAATTGTAATTTTTTTTTATCAGAGTTTTGCTGTCAGAAAAATGTTGATGGCTGGAAACCGTCAATTCATGTGCCAAAACTGTAATTAACATGGCAAGAAACAATTGCTATTCTGATCACTGGAACTAAATTAACCCATAAGATTAGGAACTGTCATTGCTTACGATAAGGAGCTTGTAAGATAGAATAGGAACCATAGATGATCATATGCATGTTCTTTTCCTCTGTATTTGTATTTTTTTTGGATAACCTCCCACAATGATGACCCCTCACTGTAACACCCCGACTCCAAGGAATAAATTTTAGCTTTTATATACATATTTTTAGACCTACTCGATGAGTTGGCTTGTAGCACCTGATTCTTGGTACGTATTCTTGTATCTAATCCTCTATTTGATTTGCAATTTTGGCCTTGGACTCGGCGAGTCGAAGGATTGACTCGCCGAGTAGAAGCGGGGTGAGAAGCGGAGTTTAAGTTGCGGACTCGGCGATTCGGGTCCCGGACTCGGCAAGTAGCCACTGTCTGGACAAAAACCCTAATCAAGGGGTTTGCACCTTATTTAAACACTCTAACTCGGCCTCCCATGTCCTTAACACTTCCAGAGAGCTGTTGAGCGAAACCCTAGCCCCCTTGTTCTTGTGAGTGATTCTTGGCTTTGTGAAGGAAGTTTGGAGCTTAGAAGAAGAAGGAGGAGGTTGAAGAGTGCGAGGAGGGGAAGTAGATCCGAAATCTACACTGTGAGAAGCTTCCATTCAGGTATAAAATTTCCTACCTTGATCAGTAGTTCATTAAATCCCCTTTTTGTCCCTAATTGATGGTTTTCAAGCCCTAAAACCTCAAACTCCATGTAGTTATGCTCTATGTTCTGAAAGGACTTCAGATCTGGACCTTATGGACACCTTAGAAGTGTAAAGTCCATTTGGTTGAAGTGATTGAGGTCCCTATTGAGTGTATGACCTCCTAAAGAGCTTGGAATTGCCTTTTGGAGCTCATAGGGCCATGCATGCACGTAAAGTTTGCAACTTTACATGATAAGCATACCCCAGGAGCTTAGATCTATGGTTTGGAACCGTTGCATGTCTCAGATTTGGTATGTATGGGAGGAGGGTTGAAGGACTCGGCGAGTTCTATGAAGATGGTCTTAGACTCGGCAAGTTGGATGAATAACTCGGCGAATCCTTTAAAGATTGCCTGAAACTCGGCGAGTTGTTCTCGGACTCGGCGAGTCGGATTGCGAGTCGGTCTAATCGTCCCAAGTAGTGAGTTAAGGGTGACTCAGTGAGTGGGTAGAGGGACTTGATGATTTAATGTTGGGATAGTAGGAGAGGGACTCGGCGAGTCCGTGCCATGACTCGGCGAGTCTAGTCAACTGGAAGTTGACTTTGACCAAGGAGTTGACCTTGGACCAGGGGTAGGTCAGTCTTTTGACCTAAGGGTATTTAGGAGTGACTAATCTATGTTTATGGATTTATAGCCGGAGGATTGCCGGTGTAGCAGTCAGTCGTCTAGCAAGCAGACTTTCAGCAGCTACTTTTTGAGGTGAGTTACCTTCCAGTAGCAGTGGGTCTAAGGCCACTATGTCGGCTCACCGGTAGGAGTTGTATGTTAGATGATTGTCTTTGTGATATTCATCTAGTTTTGCTACTACTTGATATGTTTATGTGCTAGCATGTTATGATGTTATGTAATAGTGGTAGTAGGGGTGAAATAGTCCCTGGTTACCGGTCGATAGGACCGAAGGGGTAGTTTAGTACTCAACCATGCTAGCTAGATTATGATATGTGTGATATGATATTATGTGGTAGTAGTAGGGGTGAAATAGTCCCCGGTTACTGGTCGAAATGACCGAAGGGGAGGCCAGCACCTAGATATGCTAGGTAGTATCCAGTCGAAAGGACCGAAGGGGAGGCCAGCACCCAGATATGCTAGGCAGTATTCGATCAAAAGGACCGAAGGGGAGGCCAGCACCTAGATATGCTCGGAAGTATCCGGTCGAAAGGACCGTAGGGGAGGCCAGCACCCAGATATGTTAGGCAGTATCCGGTCGAAAGGACCGAAGGGGTAGGTCGGGCACCTAGATATGCCTGACAGTATTTGTATGTTATGTGATTGTATGGTATGTGGTACGATAGGGGAACTCACTAAGCTTCCTGCTTACAATTTACAGTTTTGTTTCAGGTACCTCTTCTTCGAAGGGGAAGGAGCTGGCGCGGTAACGGCACATCATACACGCACATTGTTTTCCGCACCATGAGTTATTCTGGGATTTTGTACTCTGACATTATGGTTGTTTTTATGTTTTGGTTTTCAGACCTGGAATATGTTAATGAAATTATAGAATCAAACAATGTTTATTCACAAATGTTTTCCAAAGTATTATTTTAAAAAGGGAAATTTGCGAAAAAGTCCCAATATTTTAGGCCAGTTTACGATTTAGTCCCAAATTAAATTTTGTTTACAAAAAAGGACAGATTACCGGCTAAAACTTTGGATTAACCCTTCATGGCCGGTTTCACAGATTTAGCCGGTATGTCATCTTTTTTCGTTAATTAATCCAAATTTTGGGGCTTTTTCATTAATTAATCAAAATTTTAGGGTTTTTTCATTATTTATTACCAATAAACCAAAATATTTGGACTATTCTGAAGATTACCTTTAAACTAATATATATTATATGATCTAATTTAATA